GACCTGCCTTATTTTTCTTTAGAGCACTCTGGCCACCTGACATACTTCTTTGTTAACCATGTGTGTCCATCAGTGGAATTTGACAATCCTGAGGGCAGGAACCTCATCCTGTATCCTTAAGACTGAGAACAATGCCCAACACATAGCAGATGCTTGAAAAATGAATAGTTGAATCTGAAGCAAAAGACTTGGCTCCTCTTGCTGCCCCTGGGATAATCCATCAAAAAGGTTGATCACTGCATATAGCGTGCCCCTTACTGCAACCTGTGAACCCATTTGCACCCCTCAGTGCCATACCTATGCCACTGACCTCCCTGAACCATACTTATTTGTGAATGGCTTATCTTCCTTACCAGACTGGGAGTTCAAAAAGAGGGTCCACAGCTGTAGCCCATAACACCTACCAGAGTCTTGAGCAGTATGAAAATCTTTTATTGGCTGGACAAAGATAAATTTCAAACCCAATGGCTAAAGTTTAATTTCTCTGCTCCCAAACGCAGCAAAGCCCACTGCCCTGAAAAATGTCTTGGCCCCATTCCTAGAGAACCAAGACCTTGGAGTTAAGCTCAAGTGCTCCTTGGAATTCCTTGCATATGAGCTGTGCCAGGGGAAGGCTACTGACAGAATGGGATTCGCCAACTGAGCTCAGAAAACCTGTGTGAATAGCAGGCAGACTCAGAGCAGGCACTTAGTGAAATTACTTTCTGTTATCTCAAAGAGAAATATTAGCATGTAAGACTGGCTTAAGGAGAAAATGCTAGAGTGTAAATGGAGCTGGGCTTCACTTCCATAAATAAATGCCTTCAAGAGCTCTCTCTCTCTCAACAGGATGTACCTTGGAGTCTAGACCTTACCTAGTCCCCTTCTTGTTATCCACTTCCATCACCACAAGCCTCTAAGGTTCCCCAACTACCAAGAACTCTCTGCGCATTTGCTCAATTTATTCCCTTTGTCTAGAATGCTTTTCTCATCTCCCCTGCTGGATAAAACCCTACCCATTCTTCAAGAGCACAGCTCACATGCTGCCTCCTTTGTGAAGCCTTCCTTGACCTCCCCTGACATACCGCTCTTCCTCTGACAGATATCACTTTGTTCTGAGCTATAGATACCAGCATTTATCCACCCATCCAACTCATGTAAGTGTCAAGCTTGGAGAAGACCATAGGACTTGTCCTTAGGAAACTTACTATCTAGTGGGGGAACCAAAGCAAAGAGATATATTATTGCAAGTTGGGAAAAGGGAAGGAAACAAGATATGGTGAGAGAGACAATACAGCCAGGTGGAGACGGGAGAAACCGACTTTAGATGGTGTGGAAGGCTTTAAGGTGACATTTAAATTGGTAGCTGATGGATGAGTACAAGTTAACCAAGCAAAGAGTGGGAAGAAAAGTTTCCAGGCAGAGGGCACAGCACCTGTGAAGGTGCTGAGGCAACAAAGAGCTTGGCATAACCCAGGAACCAATGGTGTGGCTCCAGCTTCGGAGGGCTGGGAGAATGGTGTGAGGACATAGGCCTTCATGTGGGTACTGATAGCTTTGAATTACCATTTTTTTGTGTTTCTTCCTATGTCCCCTCTCATCAGAAAGGCTGGAGCGCATTCTACTCCTCTCCTTGTTCCCAGTGCAGGACAAGACACCTGGTGCACAAGAAGCATTCTACAAGTCCCTGTGAGCTGCATTTCCCCAGAGATGTGCAGCCTTCTCGCTGTGCCCATGCCCCCGCTTCAACAGCAAGTCCCCAGTTGGCTGGCCTAACTGAAGTGCCTGGGACTGGTTAACCACAAGACTGGTGGTAGAAACAAGAGATGAAACAGGAGCAGCTGTGAGAGCTACAGTTTCGTCCTTGACAAATGCCACTGACAACACAGTTGGCAGATGTGACCACCACATGGTCCTTGGAGACCAGATTCTCGGGATAAATTTCAATCAGATGGCAACGCTAGTACATGAGGGCCTGCCAAAATCACGAGCCCCAAGATTTAAATGATCAGTCTGAAGTTCAAAATACGATTTCCAAGGTTTGAGTAGTTTCTTGATTTTTTTTTATTTTTTAATAATCCAGGAGATGAGAAGACTACTTGATGAGTCAGCTGCCCTGACCTGTACCTTCTCTGATGAATGAGCCCCTGGCCCAACCTGGAATTCTATCATTTTTAAGAACACACAGTTCTTCAAATCGCACTTTGAACTCTGCTTTCTGAATGATGGACTTTGAGCTAATCGAAACTAATCATTATTTAGGCTAAACCAAGCTATAGTTTTTAACTCTTTCTGAAAGGAAAAAGAGCATCGGGAGCTTCTGGACACGACACATACTTGATGGCATCTCATGAGGAAACATGATTAAGAATTTTTTGTCAAATTTCTTGACAGTATTTTTTAAGTCTTATACCGTAGACTTTTCTGTAATAGCTCTCCATGCTTCCCTCTATTGAGGGTAAAGAAGGACTGCAAATACCTCCTTGCAAAATTCCACTTCTGTTATACAAGGCCTTTGCAAATGCTATTCCCTCTGTCCCTTCACAAATTCCCTGCCCTCCTCTCTTGCCCAGTTAACTCCTTCTTATCCTCTAGATTACACTGTAAATGCCATTTCTTCAGAAAGCCCTTCTCTTACCCATCCACTCCCATCTAAATTAGGCCCTATTATTCTCTCATAACCTCCTTCATGGCACTTGTCACAATTTGTAATATTTGTGTGCATTTGGTTAATTCCCCCCACCCTGATTAAAGTGGTAAGCTCCATGAGGGCAAGGACCATGTCTGTGTTGCTCACATCTACATAGCCAGTGCCTAGATCAGCTTGGCATATAGTAGGTACTCAGTAAATAATTAATAAATGGTTAGCATCTTTTCAATAGAGGCCTAGGATTTTTCTGGATCAAGTATGATCAGGACTGGCTTCTAGTCGGATACAAGTTGTTCATGGTGTCACCTAAACATAGGGCCCCATCACAGCACTAACCACATTTTTAAATGTCTGCTCTGGGCCATCTACTGTGCTTTTTGCTCTAAATGTATTTCTAATCCTCACAATGGTCCTACAAGGTGGAGACTGCCACAGCATTTTACAGACAGGGACCTCAAGGCTCAAAGAGGTAAATTAAATTCCTTACTGTCACACAGCTAGTAAGCAGCGGCAGAATCGGAAATCAAATCCAGCTCAGAGTCTAGATTCTGTGTTCTTTCTACTCAGTCCCTACTTGTCAAGCAGGGTGCACACCCCCCAGGGGTAGGCTTCCAGCAGGCCTGGGCATGAGAAATCACAAGACAAATGTGTGGCCCATTTTTCCTGACGGTAAGTAACATAAACTGTTTCTATGTTTTCATATTTTACAGTATAATGTATAATAAATTTAAAAGAATTTAAAAACCAAAATACAAAAGTTCAAAGAAATGTCATGCCTGTTGCCCAGGCCTGTGTCTCAGGAACCTCGTGGAGAAGCATGAGAAGCACTTATTTGTCACTCTGCCTTTCTTCACTTTAGGTCCCTTTTCCTTGTTGCTACATTTTTTAAAATACTAGCATTTCAACTCAACCTTCATTTTTCTACTCCCACACTTCTCTCACCAGAGAAATTAAAATGCTTAAAGAAAGTGGCGGGGTGTCAGCCACATGCATGTCATTTTCAAAAGCATTAGCCATTTATAAGGACACTTTTTTGTAGGTACAATAAATCTGATTGATTTTTATTACACATCTTAGTTTAGAATCACTTTTACATTCCTAGACAAAGAGATGATACAAATAAATAGCAATTGTAAAACTTAGAGCCCCAAGTATTGGCATATTCTTCGTCTAAAGGTAGCCAAAGAGAAGGTCAAGATCAATAGTAACTCCAAGGAGCCATAAAGACCACTGCCCCGTGCCTGCCCCAGCATCACTTCTTTCATAACGTCAAAAGCATTTCATTCCAGAAACAAGGGCGGGGAGAAAGGTGGCAGAGTTCCGAACAGTACAAGACAAAGCTTTGCACGACAGACAATAGCCAGACCCACTATTCTTATCCAGTTCCCTCCAAGCATTTTTATTGTAGCTTTTAGAGTATATTAATAGCCTCATTTTCATCCACTGATGGTGTTTAGATGGTCCAAGGTGTTGTCTGCAGTAAGCCTCAACCTCATGTGGGAAACATGAGGCAGAACTGATATCCCATATTTACAGGGAATCGACACTTCTCAGAAACTTGGCAACAATTCTACATTCAGTAAGGGAGGACTTACACGAGTCAGACAGGAAGAGCAGAGAGAGGCCCATGCCTGCGCTGCAGAACTCTCTGGCGCCCTTGGGCATGGAGGTGTGGGTGCAGCAATTCAAGCAGCATGCAGGCATTAGACAGGGAACAATCTGACGTTAGGTCAGAGTCTTAAGAAAGTGCTTCATGCCTAGGATTTGTGGCCTTGGGTTCTGAATCCAGGGGTCTGGGAGACTTTAAAATACGAAGCCAGGTATGTTTCTACGGATCAGAGAAACTAGGGGTCTGATAAGGGCTGCACACAGTCTCAAACCCCTTCCCCCAAAGGATCTTCTTAGATTGTGTAGACTTGCTTCCGGACGTAACTAGCTGCTGCTGGTACGAAGACCCTCAGATGGCTCGGAAAATTGTAGCACGACTGCAGACATGAGAATGTGGCCCTTCAGTGGGTTTGATAGGTCCTCTACACATCTGGCTCAATTCAGAACCCAAAGCAGCAGCTTTCTGGCAGCAGCAAGACATTCTACCATCTCCTCTATTCAAACATTTATTGGATCCATTTTGAGAGAAGAAAAGCACCATAGACTGCTTGGGAGGGGCAGCTTGACCTGCCTCGAGGGTTTCCGTTTACTGTTTCCACAGACCACCAGGAGATGAACACAGCTAAGTACGAGGCAAGCTTGTTTTTATAATCCTGCCTGTCAACTTGGCTTTCTTCTTTTGCCTTCTTAGAAAAGTCGTACGTGTCATTTAACCACCCTTGGTCAGAACAGCCAGCTCGAGACATCAGTATTAAGGTATAGTGTTATCTGCAGTTTTCAATTCTCAGATTTGCTAGATTGAGTATTTTCAACCTACAGAATTCAGACTAGGTTTGAGGAAATGTGGTACGAGAGACAGGTATAACCTGCAGATAACCATCTTAGGCTATATACCTCACCATTTGGTTCCTACTTAAATAGGCAAATTCTTAGTAAATCAGAAAGAAGCCAGATCTGGCCCCAAGAAAAGATGACGGGAGGCTCCATTATGCTCTGGGAACTGCTAAAAAGGGCTCTGGGTTCAGAAAGAATGGTTACTAAAAAGGAGACACGCTGCCAGATGACACATCTCCATTTTACAGAATGCTTAAGACATTGCACTTGGTACCTCTTCTTTCCCATGGGTTCTGATCCAGAATGTGCCCTGGGAACTGAGCAGCTGAGTTAAAATACAACCCAAGGCCCGCCTGAGTCGCCATCTTCCTGAGGCACCATGCCAGCAAGGTGCACCACAGTGGCAGACCTGGGGACTCATACTGTCCCTTCAGGCTTGGCTCGTGGACTCAGACACCCACATGGGAGCGCTTCCAGCCTGGATTAGTCATTCAATGGGCCTTTAGTACAAACAAAAGGCAACAGCCACACATTAGTGTATTTCTAAACTTGGGCAAGTTCTTGGTCTCTCTCTCTCTCTCTCACAGACACACACAGACACACTCACAGAATACAGGCATCTTCATGCTTGCACACCCACACACTTATGAGCTTCTCTTGGGGAAAAAATGGATAACATTCTAATGACCAACACAAAATGAAGCTTTGAATCTCAATAATACAAAGAACTAAAACTTAGAAACCAAAGTAGTATATGTAAACGGGAATTCCTAACTCTCCTCTGAGCCTATTCAATCATGCAGCTGCTCCTTGCCACCATCTCAGGCTCCACCTTGGGGGAGCCCAGGGTTCTAGCGGCAGGTGGTTTTCTGCCGCAGGCAGACAGGAGCTCTTTCCATCTGTTGTATCTCCCCTTTCCACGGCACTGAGTCTCACCTCTCTCTGTCTCCGCATCTGCCTGATCATCCTTATGCTCTCCATGCTGATATGGAAAATGGGGAATTCCAAAGTGCCACTATACCTCTCTTCCCCAACTCTAGTCTCATCAGAGAAGGCAGAGCCAGCCTCCCTTCCCCCACAAGACAGGCCCACTACAGAGCAGCAGCAGGCCCAGGCAGATGCTCAGAGTACGCGTGCATGGGAAAAGATGGTGATAAATGAAGAGTGAAGCTACACGTGTCTGGACATGGCACCAGCTTACAGATGTAGGTCTCTGACAGGATACCAGTAGTCTTGGTTTTGAGGTGTTACAGACACTGTTTCCCTAAACTCTCCTTGGAGGCAAAGGGAATGTTATTTCTAGTGCTTCCAACATTGACTACTTTAGGAGCAGAAATGGGTAGCTTCCTAGAAAAGATTTCCTCATTCAGCAGATCCCAAAGGCAGATCTACTTCTTACTGAGGTGCATGGAAGCAAGATCATGCCCATCTGGGGCTTGGATCCAAATGAGATTTCTCATTTCTACCTAAGAGAACAAGCACCCATTCAAGTTCTAGGGCTTTCACTTTTCAACCTCACTGTCATCTTATCCTGAGGCTCCAAAAACTTGGTCCTGCTAAGGTGACTCCTGATTCTGCCCTGTTGAACAAGAAGGGAGCCCAGTATAGAGAACAGGCTAGAAAAGGAGAGGAGAGAGGAGGGATGGGCAGGGGAAAGGGGAGGGAGAGGAGAAGAAGGGAAGGGAGAAGGGAAGCAAGGTCACTGGTCATTCTTTTGCTCTCCACTTCAACTATCACATTTTACCTTATCCCATGCATTTCTGAGATGCTAATTAAAAGAGGTTTCCCAGAGGAACTGAGTGCCAGATTAGGACCAGCAGGTTTCAACCAGACTGAGTCAGTTAATCTGCAAAGAGGCCATCACTTCTCCTTAGGGGAATGGTTCTGAGTTTGGACTCAAGTCCTCTCTGCAGGTTTCTCTCAGAAGGCAAATGCTGTTTATGCCCTGGGAGAGGAGGAACTGGCTTTACTTTGGAACCAGCCCCCGAGACTGTGGATAAAGCTGAGATGCAGGGGTTCCTGAGGAAGACGAGGAGGATCCCGACTTCCTTCCACTTTTAGGCCTGCAAAAGTCAAACAAATGTTTACATTACACATCCCTATCTTTGTTCCTGACCTAGATCAGACTCTTCCCATTGAGTTCCATTAACCCTTCAAGGTGGCCTTTTCTCAATGGCCTGAAAGCCAGTATACTTTCAACTGTAAAAGCCCTAGACTAGCACAGCCTGACCCTCACGGCCTGCCAACAGGAGTGTGAAATCTCAGGGCAGGGACGCTGTTGCTCAACTCCTGTTCTTCTGTTAAAATCAAATCTTGACACCTTCTTAAAACTGGTACAAAAAAAAACAAAAAATCAAGCCTGCAAGTAGAATTCCTTCCATTTTTGGTTCTCCACTCAGCTGTTTTTCTTAAATCCTTGTCTAATCTAGAATTTTAAAAAACAGAGTTTCTAATTGAGCACCAAATTAAGTACTTGGTTATTTTAATGGGGGAGGTAAATTCAGCATTTAGGCTCAGAGCCTGGGTTGTGGATTTAGTCAGACCCAGGTTTGAACTCTGGCTCTGCCAACTTACTAGCTGGGTTTCCTTGGACCGAGCTAGTTTCTCAAATTCTCTAAGTCTTGGTTTTCTCATCCGTAAAATGGGATTGATGATAAAATATACCTTATAATTTTTTGCAGGAAATCATTAACAGAATTCTTCTAAAGCACTCAGAACTGCCTGGGACCTGGTGAGTAGGAACCCAGATTCTACTAGACCACATGCTCCTTACAGGCAGGAACTGGGGGCCTTAGGTATTCTGGTGTTCAGTATACCTGGCATAGTGCCTGGACCATTAGTATTTGTGGAATAAATGAATAAACACAGGAGCAATACGGCAACACTTCCTGGTGTGTTCTGCAAAGTGTGTCATGATCAACATGCACTCCTGACACCCTTTACCTTCGTTTGTTTTTGTTTAAACATATTCTGTTCAAATAGGGGTCAACAAAACCCACTCACCTGGCCTTGGATTTCTTATTTGCAGTGCTTTCAAAGGATGACGCATCCACCTGTATCTCATCTTCATCCTGCAGAGCCGCATCCAAGGCAGCCTGGACTTTGGGGGCAATGGCTGGGCCCTCATAATCTCTGGTGGTTCGGCTGGGCATGTCCAGCTCTAACAGCACAATGTTTTCTGCCTGGAGAAGCACAGTCACAAGCATTTAGGTTGGCCTCCAGTCAGACACAGAATACAAGCAACCCATACCTTCTCCGAGAACAGAACTGCACACTGTTTGCTATTCAGAGCCTACCAAAAGCCATTCAAGAAGAAGGGATGTAGTTTTATAATTTTTTTCCTGGCAGGATTATAGATGATTTTTATTTTTCCTCTATGTTTTTCTGTATTTTCCTTTTTTTTTTTAAAAACAATGAGCATGTATTATATCCTAAGGGAAAAATAATAAATTAAGGAAAATTCATATATTGCAGACAATGTGAAAATACAGAAAGGTATAAAGGAGAAATTTGCAATCACCTATCATTTACCACCAACAGTAGCCCTGATGGACATTTTGGTTGCAGAGGGGAGGAAGTAGGTCTGCTGTATGGCTCTGTGTATGTGGAGGGTGTACATGGCAGTGTATGGGCTTTGTAACCACATTTTAAAAATCAGAATGAGCCCCGCCTCACAGTTCAGTTGATACCCTGTTGTGAGCCTTCTTCTAGCTCCTACATACTGACACAAGCGTGTAGAGGGAAGAACACCATGGTTACCATGCCCTTCTTCTCCTCTAGCTCCTCCCCAGTCAGTGGTGTTCAAGCCTCAGGGCTCCAGAGGAGGCAGGAGGGGCCCGTGCAGGGAGGAGGTGGGGAGAGCAAGCAGCTCCATTTATCCATCTGTATACTGGGATGTTGTGTACAATTTCTCTTGATGAAGGGGGTCTACTGCTAAAAACATTTGAGAACTACTGCTTTAAATACTACCTTTGGATCAGGTTAGCCCCTTGGAAACCCACGTTTGATTTGTGGGCTTTAAAATCATGTTTTTGGCTTAAGATACAAAATAACTGATGAGATACGTATCTTCTGAAACTGCTAGAAAAATGCTACCTAGGCTCCTGATACACCACTCACCTTCCCCTATGTAAAATCCCATTTAATACATCTTTTTGCTTTGGCTTTCTTTATTTTAAATAACTTCATGACAGGAAGAGCAGCACCTGTGCAGTTAACTAATCCTGATCCTGGCTGCCAAAGAAGATTCAAAAACATTAAAAAAATTTTAAGTGAAAATCTTTCATTATAAAAATAATAACAGGTTCCCTGTTGATAGTTATATAGATAAGCAAAAATAAGAAAATTTAAAGTAAGTGTACTTCTACCAACCAGAGATAACCAGTTAACATTTTGATAATATTTTGATATATTTTTGACCAGATTTTTTAATTCATATATACACATCTGGCACAAATTGTTTTATAACTTGCTTATTTTACTTAACAATATGTTGTGTCTCCTGGATCCTCCATTTACCAGCTACCTGACCTTTAAGCAACAGGACAGACTGCAGAGAAAGACAGGACGGGAGGGTTCAATGAGATAAAGCCATAAAGCACTGAGCACAGTGCCTGGCACATAGTAAGTGCCTATAAATGGAAGCACTTACAGCATTTTTATTGTAATATATTTTGGGGTCATTAAATAGCCCGCAACTATGCCACTTTAAATATCTAACCAATCTGATGCTAAATGGAAGTACTGTACTCCTTTAACACATCTCCATCCCCTGTCACTAAACTAGCTGCTGTTGAGTCGATTCCAACTCATGGCAGCTCCAAGTGTGTCAGAGTAGAACTATGCTCCATGGGATTTTTGATGGCTGATTTTTCAGGGACAGATCGCCAGGTCTTTCTTCCAAGGCACCTTTGGGTAAATTCAAACCTCCAACCCTTGTTAGCAGTTAAGCTCCTTAACTGTTCGTACCACCCAGAGATGCCTCTCCTGACACTGTTGTTCTTGGTAGTTGGCATCTAGTCAATTCCAACTCGTGGCGACCCCGTGTGTGCAGAGCAGAACTGCTCCACAGGGTTTTCAAGGCTGTGACCCTTTGGAAGAAGATGGCCAGGCCTGTCTTCCGAGGCTCTCTGAATGGGTTTGAATCGCCAACCTTTCGGCTACTAGTTGTGTGCTTGACCGTTTGCACCACCCAGGGACTCCTCTCCTGTCACCAGACATCCATCCACATTCTTTCCAGTCTCCCCACAGAGCCATTTTGAAGTTTACTGTTAGTATTTATTGGCTATTATGGACAGTGTGTTTGGATTTTCCCTCTCTAGTCCTGATTTTCTAAATCTCATTCTATTTTACCTTTTTACTTATGTATTTTTTCCATTGTAAACATCCTCAACTACCTCTAGAAAGAGTCAAGGTACAAACAAACTCAGTGACTTCGCAGAATAGTGCCTAACGGTTTACATAAATCTAAACTTCTCCAAAAGAGAGAAGAGAAAAACCCAAGAACAATCTTCTCACCCTGTATCGGGCCTCAGGGCGAATCATCATGGACATTCTCGCGTGCTGGCTCAATGGCCTCTTGTATCCCACAGCTGAGACTGGCCGCTTCATCATCTGCTGATTCCTGAAAATCGACTGCAGTGGTTAAAGCCCTGGCTGAAGTGTGGTCCACACCCCAGCACTGGTCCCACTGAGCTAGTGCTCGGAAGATTCCGAGCCTACTTCAGATAGAACCAAAAGCAAGTAATTCCCTGGACTGAGGGCTGACATGTAAATCGGGTAGAAGCTGCTTATCTTATGTTTACTGATTGAATGGCTTTCTGATTCAAACATAACCATCATGCATCTTTTAAACTAGAAGGGGTATTAGCCATTATCCAGTTCTTAGAGGGCAGACACAAAGTACGGCTGTCAACACTCCCCACTCCTGCATCCTTGGCAAACATCTCTCATCTTTCCAGCAGGACCTGACAATCCTCAACACTGTGTCAGGCTGGAACTGACACACAAGATGACACCTATGTACTGCCCCTCATTTGGCCTAACACCCTTCATCTGACAGCTGGGGAAGCTGAAATGCAGCAAATTGGAAAAAGTCATCAGTTCACTAGTGACAAAGTCTCCAATCCCTAATAATACACTCATCACCAGGCTTTTACCTCATGGACCTGTGGGAGCCATAAAGCTCAGAAATGCAATGGGTTCTGAGTTTAAATGACTCAAACTGTGTTCTTATCATACCCCTCTGGCCAAGTCCAGCTTATCAACAGTCTTTCACTCTTCCCGAGCACCCTCCTAGCACCCTTCTTCCCCTAGCCTTTCTACTTAAAGTCGATAGTGACTTACTCCAGCCTGGTTATAGGATGTAATTTCCAATGATCTTCCTCTTCATCAAAAAAGGATCGATTCATAATTTTACTTTTTTCTTCCAGAGGGATAAAGTTTTCTATAATAAGATGCCTGTAAGAACACACATACATGGGTGAATACAGTTAGAGAAAGATGCTTAATTAGTCAGTGTTGGCTATCTGGTCCCATGAGTAATGACAACTGTTAAGTCACCCAGCAAACATATACTGAGCAGGTACTATAGGCCTAACATCATACCAAGAGCTGGGATTCAGACATGTGTGACACCGGTCCCTGCCTGAGACAGAGGGGTTACGGTGCAGTACTGTTAGGTATGACAGGTGCTGACGGTTGTCTGTCTGGGAATATGGGAGCTGCAGCTTGAGGATGTGAAAGGACTGAAGAGGGGGTGGTGCCTGAGCTATACTGGGAGTGAATACTTGCCAATGCAATTATCTTTTGGAGGGCCACTGGTACTGCTAGCCCAGGTCACTGACTTTGCAAACACTGAAAACAGGTTAGAAATTAAGTTTCAGTTGCCCTCCTCCAACTCCATGGATTGTTGCCCAACCTGGAAAACTTCCTTTTCTAACCCACCAGGACAAAACGCAGGGCCCCGTGGATATCAGTCCTTTGGAGCATTGAGGACAGAGACAATTCTTGAGAGGAGTCTCTGCCTGAGATGCACCTGGGGAACTTGGCAAACAATGAAACTGGACCCACTGGGTTGCGTCTCTCCACGATGACTACTGTCTTCCGCTATATCTCTGCCTTCACTCTTTCAAAACCTCAGTACAGAACAATGTCAAAGGGGTGTTAACATGGGAAAGACACAAAACAAACACCACAGAGGCGTGGGGTACTATGAGGAACAGGCTGGCTCATTGTTTGTTCAAAAGATGTGAAAGATATAACAAGAAAAATGACTTTCTTAGGGGAAAAAAAACTTCTGGGAGATTACGTGGTTCTCAATGGCCTTTCTCATAAGATATATTTGTTTTTTTCTGGTCACAAAAGGCCCTATTTACTCATTTTTAAAAATGTGAAAAGTATAATTATCCATGGTTTCGCTATTCAGTGATAACTAATATTTTGTTCTGATCTTTCCTCTCGGTGTACACACCAAGAAAGAAGACCCACACATACATTTAATTTTAAGGGCTCCTTTCCAAATTCACAACTTGGTCATTAAAAGATCCCTTCTGAAAGTTATTCTTTAAAGAAAAATTCCAGCTAATGATGTGGAAGGACTGGCATAGAAAAACATTTTGCAACCCCTAATGAAATAATGGATCCAGACAAAGATCATTGTTTGCTGAAACCATTAGTTCTGTTGTTCTCAAGCCAGGCTGCACATTAATATCACCTACAGAGTTTTGAGAAATATCTTACCCAGACCTCAGGCTAGACCAATGAGTCTCAAAATGTGTTCACTGAACCACCAGTATCAACACTTGAAAACCTGTAAGAAATGCAAATTCTCAGGCCCCATCCCAGGCCTACTGAACCAGACTCTTTGGGGGTGGGGCCCAGCAATCTGTGTTTAACAAGCCCTTCAGGTGGTTCTGATGCCTGCAAAAGTTTGAGGACCACTGCCCTAGACCAATTAAATCAATCTCTGGGATGGAGCCCAGGCATCACTATTTTTTAAAGCTTGTCAGATGATTTCAGTGTGCAGCCAAGGTTGAGAACCAGTGCTTCAGAGCTAGTTTTCAGTTGAAGGGAAATAAGGGGGATGAAACCCAAAAACCAAACCCATTGCCATCAAGTCAATTCCGACTCATAGCGACTCTACAGGACAGAGTAGAATTGCCGCACAGTGTTTCCAAGGAGCAGCTGGTGGATTCGAACTGTTGACCTTTTGGTTAGCAGCCTGAGCTCTTAACCACTGCGCCGCCAGGGCTAGAGACACAAAGGACACCATGAGGAAGCCAACTCACAAGCCCAAAATGTGAGACATTTTTACAGGCCACCTGACACAGTTTATTTAAGTCAACTACGAGAAATTTTAAACAGGGATAAGGGATTCCTCCAGATTAAAATAAGCTTAAGAGACATAATGTTTTTGTTAGGTGTCGTTGAATCAATTCTGACTCATAGTGATCCCATGTGACAGAGTAGGACTGCCCCACAGGGTTTTCTTGGCTGTAATCTTTACAGGAGCAGATCACCAGGTCTTTCTCCTGTGGAGCCACTGGGTGGGTTCGAACTGCCAACCGTTCAGTTAGTAGTCAAGTGTTTAACCATTGTGCCATGAGGGCGCCTTAAGAGATACAATAACCAGATGCAATGTGTGATCCTCATTTAGATCTTAATACCAAGAAAATCTGAATATGGACTGGGTACTAGCAAATACCAAGAAACTGAATGTTAATTGTGTTAGATGTAAAAATAGCATTGTGTATATATTAAAAAATCAACTGTAACTTTGGTGAAGGACAAGACAGTACACAATACTGGAGAAGTCAGCACAACTTGACCAAGGCAAGGTCACGGAAGCTTCATAGACACATCCAAACTCCCTGAGGGACCGAATTACTGGGCTGAGGGCTAGGGAACATGGTCTCAGGGGACATCTAGCTCAATTGGCATAACATAGTTTATAACACAGTTCTACATTTGACTGTAGTGAGTAGCATCTGGGGTCTTAAAAGCTTGTGAGTGGCCATCTAAGATACTCCACTGGTCTGACCCCATCTGGAGCAAGGGAGAATGAAGAAAACCAAAGGCACAAGAGAAAAATTAGTCCAAAGGACTAATGGACCACAACTACCACAGCCTCCACCAGACTGAGTCCAGTATAACTAGATGGTGCCTGGCTACCACCATTGACTGCTCTGACAGGGATCACGATAGAGGGTCTCGGACAGAGCTGGAGAAAAATGTAGAACAAAATTCTAACGCTGTCAGACCAGTAAGTCTGACAGAGACTGAAGAAACTCGGAGAGTACAGCCTCCGGACACCCTTTTAACTCAGTACTGAAGTCACTCCTGAGGTTCACCTTTTGGCCAAAGATTAGACAGGCCCATAAAACAAACAGTAATACACGTAACTCAACCATGTATACAAGACTAAATGGGCACACCAGCCCAGGGGCAAGGACAAGAAGGCAGAAGGGGACAGGAAAGCTGGACAAATGGAAATGGGGAACCCAAGGTCTAGAAGGGGAGAGTGTTGACACGTCACAGGGTTGGCAACAAATGTCACAAAACCATATGTGTATTAATTGTTTAATGAGAAACTAATTTACTCTGTAAACCTTCATCTAAAGTACAATAAAAAAAATTCAACTAAAAAAGAAATTGTATTTCTATACACTAGCAACAAACACTCCAAAGATAAAATTATGAAAACAATTCCATTTATAATAGCATAAAAAAAAATACTTAGGTATAAATTTAACAAAAGAAGTGTGAGATGTGTGCACTAAAAACTACAAAACACTGACAAAAAAAAAGATTTAAATAAGTGGAAAGACATTCCATGTTCATGGATCAGAACATTTAACAGTGTTAAGATGACAACACTCCCCAAATTGTTTTAGAGATTCAACAAAATCCCTATCAAAATCCTAGCTGGCTTTTTGGCAGAAATTTATAAGTTAATCTTAAAATTTATATGGAAATGCAAGGAACCCCAAATAGTCAAGACAATCTTAAAAAAGAACAAAGCTGGAGGAGTTATACTTCCTGATTCTAAAACTTACTACAAAGCTATAAGACACTGTGGTACTGGCATATGGACATACAGACCAATGGAATAGTACTGAGAATCGAAAAACTCCTTACATTTATGATCAATTGATTTTCAACAAGGGTGTCAAGATAGTGAAATGGGGAAAGAATAACCTTTTCAACAAATGGTGCTAGGACAACTGGATATCCACATGCAAAAGGAACCTCTACTTCATACCATACACAAAAATGAACTCAAAATGGATCACAGACCTAAATGTAAGACCTAAAACTGTTAAACTTGAAGACCGAAAGGAATTGAAAACATATTCCCACAAAAAAACTTATACACAAATGTTCATAGCAGCATCATTCACAATAGCCAAAAAGTGGAAAGAACCCAAATGTCCATCAACTGATGAATGGATAAATTAAATGGGGTATATTTTATTATATCCATACAATAGAATATTATTCAGCCATAAAAAGAACTGAAGTACTGATACATTCTACAACACGGATGATCCTTGAACACATTATGCTAAGTGAAAGAAGCCAGTCACAAAAGACCACATATTGTATGATTCCATTATATGAAATGTCTAGAATAGGCAAATTTATTGAAATAAGGTAGATTAGTGGTTGCTTAAAGCTGGGGGAGGGGAGAATGAGGAGTCACTGCTGACTGATACAGGATTTCTTTTAGGGGAAATGAAAATGTTCTAAAACTAGACTGTGGTGATGGTTGCCTGTGAGCATATTTTAAAAAACACTGAATTGTGCACTTTAAACAGGTGAACCGTATGACATGTGAGTTATAGCTCAATAAAACTGTTCAAAAACTAGCATGTGGTCATGTAACTACTCAGTATGTAGGAGTGAGACAACCTGATGTAAGATTTGCTTTAAATTATTTGTATAAAAGATAACAGGTGACAAAAGCTTATTAATTATTGAATCTGAGTGATGGGTATTTTGGTATTCATTATATTATTCATAAAATTTTCATAATAAAAAGTCAAATTAAAAAAAGATAACCTCTTATCAACAGATAGAGGTAAGGCCAGAGCCTTTAAAAGCTTCAAGAAAGTGGGGTGGAAGAGAACTTGGAGATCATGCAGTCAAGCTGTTCAGTTAACAGATGGGACCTAGAGATGGAAAGTGATTTTCTCAGGAATAAACAGAAGACAGACAAGGTGGCAGGAAATAAGCTAGAGAGAGGTAGGCAGGGGCCGTGTCCTCAGGGGTGTTTTTCTTACTTAACAAAAAAGATGACCAACGCAGTAGGAGGCTTGGGGTCTAGGAGAAGGCCTGGTGCTTACTTGAGTTTTAGCTCCCTGGTAAGCTCATTCTGGGTCTGCTCCAGCTCTTGGCGCTCCTTGATGTGTTCTTCTTGGAGGTCATGGATCTCAGCCTTCACTGCCTGCAGCTTGGAGAAGAGCTGGAACCGAGGGGAGAGGCAGGTGAGGAGGGCGTCCATCCACAGAACAGAGTTCTCCTTTTCCCCCAAAGTCTCAAGGCACCTCTGCATGGCCTCACTCGTTTTATACCTTTTTGAGTTTTTTGGTCTTGATGTCCACCTCTTGCTGCAATGAGCTGTACGTCTCTTTAAGTTCCAAGGTCTCCTCATCTCGACTTTCCATCTGTTGCTGGATTTCTCTTTCTCGACGTTTCTGAGCAACATCATAAAATTCATTAGTTTGCCCTAAAGACCAGATCTATACAAGGATGAGAGCTTGGAGCTCCAGGTCAGAGTCTCAACTTTGAAGGACTGCTAATATGAGAGATATCTGCTCTGCATAATTAACTCACCTCCCCGCCTCTGTCCTCGCAAAAAATGAAAGGTTACCTGCTCTGCAATTTCCTGCCGTTTCTGCTCCAGGATTTTCTGCTGTTCATTCGTATGATCCACTATATTTTTCCCTCCAACAAGCAGCTTACTCTCCATGGCCTGAGTGAGAAACAAGGTAGAATCCATTTTGTGAGTGGTCTCCTTCACACATTTCATAGGGGAGCCCCTGAAAGGTAGAGAGCTCAGGACTGAGCCAACGGGAAGAGCTATGCTTAGCTATCCCTGTCCTACTCTTCTCATCACTGGGATAGGGCTGGAGGTGGCTTCAGTGGGGACCTCACCTTGGTAACAGTAAAAATACAGTTTCTCCATAGATACATGAATTTTAGCTCTCTTTAAAAATTTTTTTGGGTACATGTAGAAATTGTTGAATTGGTGTATGTTCTGTTGTACATATTTTCAACAACAAAAATCAAATACATTAAAAAAAGAGAGAAAAAATTTGGAGGGGATTTGTTTGTACAATATCAACCCCACTTAAAACATACGCACCTACTATGTGCTAGGTACTGGGGATGATGCAACTGTGAATATAAATCACGAAGCTTATAGTCCACTGAGGGACACAGACAAGTAAACAGACTCTTAGCATATGGTGTCAGATGCAATTATGAGGGAAAAACCAAAAATCAAACCTGTTGCCATCAAGGTGATTCTGACTCATAACAACCCTATAGGACAGAGTACAACTGCCACATAGAGTTTCCAAGGAGCAGCTGGTGGATTCAAACTGCCGACCTTTCGGTTAGCAGCCAAGCTCTTAACCACTGTGCTGCCAGGGCTCCTTAGGAGGGAAGTACAGAGTAATTAATGGGAGAAGCACACTGGAGAGGGAATTCAGACTTTAGGAAGGAGTCAGGAAAAGCATCCTGTCTGAAGAGACATCTACACACAGAGCTGTAGTAAAAATAGGGTTAGCTAAGAAAAAAAATTTTTTTGCAAGTACAGGGTAGGAGGGAGTGGTGATACATGAAGCTGGCAAAGCAAGCAGAAGTCAGTTGAAAAACCTCAAAAGCCCTGTTAAGGGAGACTAAATTTCATCCTGAGAGCCTCTGGGACCCACTGATGTGTTCTTTAAGCATGTGGGTACACAATCAGATCTGTGTTGTAGAAGTGTGACTCTGCTGCAGCAGAATGGGAAGAATGGCTGGAAAAGGGCAAACTGGATGACAGGAGACCAGACAGAAGGCTGTGTGGAGGTCTAGGCTTGACTTGGGCAGTAGGGGTACAGGGAAGCAAAGTGGATGGGTCCAAGAGACCCAGGTGAGGCAGGATTCAGAGGCTGGTATGGACTGTGTCCTCCAAAAACACAGGTTGTAAATTCTAACCCCTATACCTGTGAATATAATCTCATTTGGGAACAGGGCTTCCTTTGTTATGTTAATTAGGTCATGTCAGTGTAAGTATGTTTTAAACCAATCACTTTTGAGATATAAAAAGAGCAGATTATGCATAGAAAAGGAGCCCTGGTGGCACAAGGGTTAAGTCCTCACTGCTAATGGAAAGGTTGGTGGTTCCAACCCACCCAGCAGCTCCTCAGGAGAAAGACCTGGTGATCTGCTTCCATGAAGATTACAGCCAAGAAAACCCACTGAGGCAACTCTACTCCGTCACATGGGGTCGCAATGAGTTGAAATTGACTCACCGGCACCAAACAACAAAAACAACAAACACAGAAGCAAACAGGCACAGATGGCAGAAGATATATGCCACACCACATGACGACTGCCAAGGAACTGAGGAACAGAAGCTGAAAAGAGACAAAGACCTTCCCAAGAGGTGACAGAGAGAGAAAGCCTTCCTTGAGAGCCTGTGCCCTGAATTTGGACTTCTAGCCTCTTCAATTGTGAGAAAATAAATTTCCGTTTGTTAAAGCCACCCACTTGTGGTACTTCTGTTATGGCACCACTAAAAAACTAAGACAGAGGCCTTGTGGACTGACTGGGCCATAGGGAGGGGCAGGAGCAGCTAGCAAGGAGAACTCGTAGAAGTCTGGCTTCACTGAGCTGAGGAAGAAGGAGCAGGCTCTCTGGGTGTGCACAGGCAGAAGACTATGGAGTCTGGATGTTAGGAGACAGCTCTGGGCTAGACTGGGAGCCTTCAGCTTTTAAATGGTGGCTGAGGTCACAGGAGTGATTTGCATCTGACAAACATAGAATGCAAAAACTCTACCACGTTGCTTTTTAGAAACTTATAAACATTAACCACAGTCCTACTGCCACCTCTCGGTAAGCCCTTTCAGTCTGTTTCCTCTTCTCTCAAAATGAAGGAGCTGGAAGAGATTACTAGCCTCCCCTTCTCTCCAGCTCTAGAATTCTTTTATGATTTTACAGCATCCAGAATTGAGAAAGACAGAACTAACGTCATCTCCCCACAGATAAAATATCTCAGAAGTCAGTGACCTTGAAGTAATGCTGAGTCTTGCTACAATCAGCCTCTGAGAGTTCTCCAAACACCCCAGGTCGTTTAGAGTCCAGGTGTTCCTGGACTTGAAGAACAGATATGATCCTAAACAGCAGCACGCAAACCAAATGTGGGAACACCGAGTTATACTTCAAATGCAGGAGGAGGGATGAAGTGGCATTTGATGTAATGGAATTCCATAATAAGCCCCTTCCTGGAACAAAGTTACCCCCTACTTGTGTTGTATGTGACTAAATTTTCACATCACATCTAGAGGATTTTAGTCCTGGAGGGGACTTTCAAGGCTTTAAGTCCCCTGCCTCTGAATAAAATATTACTAGTTCAGTGAAAAGGCTACTCTGAGGTCACAGATAAACACGGTATAGCTTCATGGAGTAGGGGGAGGCGGGGCGAGAAAGAGATCCTTGTCATTTATAAATTAATAAACATGGATATATTATAGAGCGGAGCCCTGGTGGCGCGGTGGTTAAGAGCTACGGCAGCTAACCAAAGGTTAGCAGTTCAAATCCACAAACTGCTTCTTGGAAACCCTATGGGGCAGTTCTACTCTGTCCTATATGGTCACTATGAGTCAGAACAACAGCAACCATTTTTTTATGTTATAGAGTAGAAATAAGTTTGCATAAAATCAATAAGATAAAACCCAACACTTCAAAGGAATTCCGACTTGTGATCAGCCAGTGGCCGAGGTATCATCCTCAGACCATCAGGACCACCTTTTCACTCTCCTATGCCAATAAAGACCTATAGGGCCCTGAGTCCAGACACCTGATGAATAGCACACTGCCTTCAGAAATAAGACTCAAAACAAGGGGAGCCTCCACACTCTAGAATGCTGCTCAGCTGTGGGGGAAAATGAGGGAGACTCAATGAAATATATTGGCTCACAGGACTGGGAGGGTTGACTACAAAGGTACAGTGTGAGGAAGTATTTTGGGGTGACAGAACTGTTCTGCATCTTGTGTAATCGGGGCACTGCACAGTAAAGCCACAAGAGATATCATTTTATGCCCACCATATATATAAAAATTAAAGTCTGATCATCACAAGCATTGGCAAGCATGAGGAGCAACCAGAACTCATAACCTGATGGTAGAAGCTTCAATTCACACAGTCACTTGAGAAAACCATTTGTCATTATCTAGTAAAGCTTAAGCTGCACATACTCTAAGACCTAACAAGGCTAGACAAGAAACTCTTACACATATATATTCTCCAGGACCCAAGTACATGAACATACATAGCCAAAAATACAAGCAACCCAAACTATCAGGAGAATGGAATACCACTGAATACTCAGAATGGTAATAATGAATAAACCACAGCTACAGGCATCAATATGGATAAATCTCATGAACTTAATATTGAGCAAATAAAAGCAAATTTCAGCAGTGGGAGTCTATTTATACACAGGTAAAAAACTACATGAAACTAACCAATCTTTTATTTAGAGATATTTACGTATAGGGTAAACCCATAATGAGAAGCATGGAAGCAATACCAGGTTTAGGATAATGGCTACCTCTGTGGGAAAGGAGAACAAGGAGCTTCTAAAGGTATGAGTGCTGTTCTAGTTCTTACACTGGGTGGTAGGTACATAGGTGTTAGTTTTATTGCTTCTTTATACCTTGCACATGTAATAATTATTCTTACTATGAATTCTTAACATTTAATTTTCTAAAATTTGAAAAAATTTTTCTTTCATTTCAGTTCAACAAATGTTTATTGAATACTGGATACCATGGAACTGCTGGGAATGCAAAACTGAAAGAGACATCATCTATACAAAAAAAAAAAAAAAAACAAAAAAACCCAAACCCGTTGCCGTCGAGTTGATTCCAACTCATAGTGATATATATATACGTTTTTGTTTTTGGAGGGGTGGGGATGAAACAAAAAGCACCTCAAGGGGAACGGGCCTAAGGAAGGGTACGATACCTTGATTTTGGCACCCAGCATCTCGGCAGCATCCTTCTCCCGCCGCAGATCCTCCATCTTCTTCTCCTTCTCCTTCAGCAGCCTCATCTTCTCCTCTGCAACCAAGCTGTGGTCCTCTATAATGGCCCGCTTCTCAATCTCCAGTTTTTCTTGTTGTTCCCGCCAATAATCATCCTTATCATCCCCTTCCTCCTCACCCTCTTCTCCCTCCTCCTCCTCCTCTTCCCCGCCCCCACCGCTGCCACCACCTTCCCTCCGCTTCTCCCGCCTCTTCCTTCTGCCAATGGACCGTTTTTCCAGCTGGGCCTTGAGCCGAGCAATCTCTTCCTGAAATTCTCGAAGAAGGGCATCCTTAGGGTCCTCATTGACCCTTGGTTTGTTCTTAATGTTTTTGGCACGGTTAGCGTATCTCAGAGTGGTCAGAGTCTCTTCTACATTGTAAGAGGCAGGCCCCACATTGGCCACCATCACAGTTTTAGCGTTGCCACCAAGGGAATCTTGGAGAAGCCTAGTAAGCTTTGAGTCCCGGTATGGAATGTGAGTGCTTTTGCCATCTACCAGGGCAGAGATGACATTACCTAAGGCTGAAAGGGAGAGGTTGATCTTGGTCGCTTCCTTCAATCTTTCCCCTTGAGCACCGGTCTTGGCTTGTCGTTCGCTGCCAGCAAGATCTACAAGGTTTAATTTCCCCACACGGATATGGTTTTCACCATCAAGGCCCACCTCGCTACACTCGATGGTGATAACAAAAATTGCATGAGAACGCGAACTGTGCTCATTCATATTGGTAGCACCAACCGAACGATTCTGGTTCCCCACATTCATCACATGCTCTATCTCCTTCACACTCTTGGTGACAAAGGAAGACAAGTCTTTCACATACACTCCAGTGTCAGGTCTCTCTTTGAGCTCAAGCCTTTTGGTCTGATCCTTTGAGAGTAGATCTCGGATCTCCTCCTGGTAGATCTCTAAATACGAAGCCCTGACCAGGTACTGTTGATTCTGGGATCGAGAAATGTGGGTGAAAATGTGGTCAAACGAGTTAGGGATGACCCCTCTTTTTTCAGGGTCACCACGAACTCCTTCCATCGTGTAGGTTTTCCCAGTCCCAGTTTGTCCATAGGCAAAAATCGTCCCATTGAAACCCTGCAAGACAGAGTCCACAAGCGGTCGGAACGTCTCATCATAGAGTTCAAACTGCTTGGCATTCCAGTCATAGACTGCATCAAAGGTGAAGGTCTTGGGCATTTCATGGGCCACTCCTTTGGGGTTCTTCACAGACACCTGCCCCAGTTTCACGTCCACATCCACCACCTTGTCGTAGGAAGCAGCCTTTTCCTTGCCATTCATGGGCCGACAGCGAACCACCACCCTGACGGACTCTGAGCTTTTTAACTTTGACATAATGAACTCTAAGCAGGTTGGTTGTGAAAGGTATGAATCCAAAATGTCTCACGATGCTAAGGTCCTAGAAAAGAGCAGAAGTAAGTAAGTACAGTACAAGTGTCATTAGGAGCTGCTTGACAGTAGCTGACATACCCAAGTCACCTTCATCCCGTTAACCTTCTGACAGCTATATTTAATAACTTTACCACACTGTGCACTTCCTCATGGGTTTGTGACCAGTTTCAGGGGGAAAAATAAAAACTTCATCAACATTGTTAACTAGCCTGCCCTCTCTTCAACCAATATTTTATCTTACACTACAGGCTGAAGCGGTGGGAAATCTTTTAAAAGCTGGGTGATCGCATAACCTGTTGAACTTTAAAATGCACATACCCTTTGGCCTAGCAATTATATTTCTAAGACTTCATCCTACAGATACCTGTCTTGCGCAAAGACATATGTATAAAGATATTTGTTGTTAACATTGTGATAACAATAGGCTGCAGACGATCCCAATTCTCATCGTGAGGGGGCTGATTATAAATATATTTAATATAAGTATGCAGTAGAAGTGTATGCAGTTTTTAAAAAGAATGTAATCTACATGTAATACTATACCACGATATATTGTTAAGTGAAAAAAAAACAGGTGAGGAACAATGTGTAAAAAGGGTATATGCATGTTATATGCTTGATGTGCACACAATATTATTAGAAGCATACATGTAAAAGTGCTAACAGTGACAGCCTTGGTAGGGAAACTACGGGCATAGGGGATTCAGTGTCTAGAGAGAGAGAGAAAGATTTACTTTTCATTGCATTCTCATTTTGTCGGAACTGTTTCAATTTCTTATCTTGTGCTGATCAATTCTAAAGTCATCACCAAAAAATGGCTTGTGCAAAATGTGTTCAAATAAATGAGGCTGTGGTATAATGTCCCCCACGTGTCTGTTAGTTTGTCGTACTGCAGGGGCTTGTGTGTTGCTGTGATGCTGGAAGCTATGCCACCGGTATTCAGATACCAGCAGGGTCATCCTGCTATATGGTCTACTATTCCGGGAATGACAAGTTGAACACGAATGACATTGCATTCATCGTCAAAAAGAAAACTTCAAGATCTATCCTGAAGTACAACACTGTCAGTAATAGGATAATATCCTTACGCCTACAAGGAAGACCAGTTAATACGACTATTATTCAAATTTATGCACCAATCACTAAGGCCAAAGATGAAGAGATTGAAGATTTTTACCAGCTTCTGCAGTCTGAAATTGATCAAACATGCAATCAGGATGCATTGACAATTACTGGTGATTAGAATACAAAAGTTGGAAACAAGAAGGACTGGTAGTTGGAAAATATGGCCTTGGTGACAGAAACAATGCCGGAGATCACGTGATACAATTTTGCAAGACCAATGACTTCTTCACTGCAAATACCTTTTTTCACCAACGTAAACAGCGACTGTATACCTGGACCTCACCGGATGGAATACACAGGAATCAAATCGACTACATCTGTGGAAAGAGACAACGGAAAAGCTCAATATCGTCAGTCAGAACAAGGCCAGGGGCCAGCAGCGGAACAGACCATCAACTGCTCATATGCAAGTTCAAGCTGAACCTGAAGAAAATTAGAACAAGTCCACAAGAGCCAAAGTACAACCTTGAGTATAACCCACCTGAATTTAGAGACCATATCAAGAATACATTTGACACATTGAACACTAATGACCGAAGACCAGATGAGTTGTGGAATGACATCAAGGACATCATACATGAAGAAAGCAAGAGGTCACTAAAAAGACAAGAAAGAAAGAAAAGACCAAACTGGATGTCAGAAGAGAATCTGAAACTTGCTCTTGAACGTCGAGTAGCTAAAGCAAAAGGAACTAATGATGAAGTAAAAGAACTGAACAGAGTATTTCAAAGGGTGGCTCGAGAAGACAAAGTAAAGTATTATAATGATATATGCAAAGAGCTGGAGATAGAAAACCAAAAGAGATGAACACACTCGGTATTTCTCAAGTTGAAAGAACTGAAGAAAAATTCAAGCCTCGAGTTGCAATAGTGAAGGATCCTATGGGGAAAATATTAAACAACATAGGAAGCATCAAAAGGAGATGGAAGTTAAAAAAACAGAGTTGTTATACCAAAAAGAATTGGTCAACGTTCAACCATTTCAAGAGGTAGCATATGATCAGGAGCAGATGGTACTGAAGGAAGAAGTCCAAGCTGCACTGAAGGCACTGGTGAAAAACAAGGCTCCAGGAATTGACGACCGATCAACTGAGATGTTGCAACAAAGGAATGTAGTGCTAGAAGTGCTCACTGGTCTATGCCAAGAAATTTGGAAGACAGCTACCTGGCCAACCAACTGGAAGAGATCCATATTTATTCCTATTCCCAAGAAAGGTGATTCAATGAAATGCAGAAATTATCGAACAATATCATTAATATTCAAATATTAATAATATTCAATATTCATTAAATTCAGGCCAGATTCAGAAGAGGACGTGCAACCAAGGATATTATTGCTGATGTCAGATGGATCCTAGCTGAAAGCAGAGAATACCAGAAAGATGTTTACCTGTGTTTTATTGACTATGCTAAGGCATTCGACTATGTGGATCATAACAAATTATGGATAACGGTGTGAAGAATGAGAATTCCAGAACACTTAATTGTGCTCATGAGGAACCTGTACATAGATCAAGAGGCAGCTGTTCAGACAGAACAAGGGGATACTGTGTGGTTTAAAGTTAGGAAAAGTGTGCGTCAGGGTTGTATCCTTTCACCATACCTATTCAATCTGTATGCTGAGCAAATAATCCGAGAAGCCGGACTATATGAAGAAGAATGGGGCATCAGGCTTGGAGGAAGACTCATTAACAACCTGCGTTATGCAGATGACACAACCTTGCTTGCTGAAAGTGAAGAGGACTTGAGGCACTCACTGATGAAGATCAAAGACCGCCACCTTCTGTGTGGATTACACCTCAACATAAAGAAAACAAAAATCCTCACAACTGGACCAATAAGCAATGTCATGATAAACAGAGAAAAGACTGACATTGTCAAGGATTTCATTTTACTTGGATCCACAATCAACACCCATGGAAGCAGCAGTCAAGAAATCAAAAGACACATTGCATTGGGCAAATCTGCTGCAAAAGATCTCTTTAAAGTGCTGAAAAGCAAAGATGTCACCTTGAAGACTAAGGTACACCTAATCGAAGCCATGGTATTTTCAATCATATCATATGCATGCGAAAGCTGAACAATGAATAAGGAAGACCAAAGAAGAACTGACGCCTTTGAATTGTGGTGTTTGGCGAAGAATATTTAATATACCATGGACTGCCAAAAGAATGAACGAATCTGTCTTGGAAGAAGTATAACCAGAATGCTCCTTAGAAGCAAGGATGGCAAGACTATGTCTTACATACTTTGGGCGTGTTGTCAGGAAGTATCAGTCCCTGGAGAAGGACATCATGCTTGGTAAAGTAAAAGGTCAGCAAAAAAGAGGAAGACCCTCAAGGAGATGGATTGACACAGTGGCTGCAACAACGGGCTCAAGCATAACAACAATTGTGAGCATGGCACAGGACTCGGCAGTGTTTCACTTTGTGGTGCACAGGGTCGCTATGAGTCGGAACCGACTCAACGGCACCTAACAACAACAACAACATGGTATAATGCCAGGATAGATTACCCAATAAGCAAGTTGGGGCTTAATTGTGCTTACTTACTAATCTGTAGTGCACAATTTCACCTGGTTTTCACCACATCATGTATATTCCGACTCATAGTGACCCTATAGGGTTTCCAAGGAGCAGCTGGTGGATTCGAATTGCTGACCTTTTGATTAGCAGCCAAGCTCTTAACCACTGAGCCACCAGGGCTCCTTAATAGAGAGAGATTAATACAAATAAGAAAACAGGTGTTAAAAAGACTTAGAAAGTAAAAACAAAAAAGACAGACCTTAATTTAGAGCCAGAAAACTCAGGAAGCAGAAGAGAAGATGATTGGGTGACAGGCTGTGGTAAGCGGGTAGGGATTTTAAAAAAAAAGATTTACATGGTTCTTGATTCAAAAGGCTCTTCAGGGATAGATCTCTCTCCTTCACCTCTTCTCCCACTTCCCCTGCAGAAAGACTATCTTTCCTGAGATAGTTTATGTATAGCAAGCAGATACGCATTAACAAATACTTCTTCACACAAGTATGTTATATACCGCCCTGCATCTTGCTTTTTTTCATTAAACAACATATCCTGGAGTTTGTTCCCTCAGCAAATACAGAGCTGCCTGCCTTATTCTTTATGACAGCAGCATAATATCCCATCATAGGGATGCACCATAATTTATCTACCCACTTCCCTATGGATGCACATAGGCTGTTTCCGATCTTTGCTATGAAAAACCTAAGACACACATCATTTTATATGAGGGCAAGTATATCTGTAAGGATAAATTCCTAGAAGTGGAATTGTTCGATCAAAGGATATATGCATTTGTAATTTTAACAGACATTTAGAACAGAGATAACAGTGATTCTTTTTAGCTGTATGACCCACGAGGATATTTCCTGCCAGCAAAAGGGTGGGTGAATGTCAGGCAGGGAAGGGCCACTCTAGACATCTATGCTGTAGATTAATAAATACATAAGCACCACTGATTTTTCATAAACTGTTCTGCTGCTAAACTCATGGAAACACGAAAAGTTACTTTATACATTTCTGCTAGCTGTTCAGAATCTACTTGATGGCAACTAATAACAACAACAACAACAACTAGTTGTTACATGAATTAAACCAGTGTAGTCTAGAATGGAGAACCAGAAGATCTGTTACCCTCTCTGAACCTGTTTTCTGTACAAATCTATAAAGGGGGGGTAATTCTCCTTCCTTATGGATGACAGTGGGACTAAAAGGCACTTACAAAGGTGGAAGTACTCTGTAAACTAATATAAAGCAGGATTAAAATTTGTAAGGCAGATTCATCCAAAACCCTTATCAAAGGGTCATTCCAGAGATTACAGGTGAGCCCTAATTTTAGGCATTAAACGTCACTAGAATAACATTTTCTATTCGGTTTGTAGTCATCATCCTAAAAAAAAAAAAAAAAAGTCTAATTAAAGTGAGATCCAAATATCTAATTGATACTCAGTAAGAACTAGAAATTAAAGCCATTTATATGGAAAACTGTTTAAAAAATAGCCCTTCAACACAATAACAAAAAGATGGAAACAACTTAAGTGCCCATCAACAAATGAATGAATAAACAAATTATGGTACATACACCCAATGAAATACTATGCAACAATAAAGAACAATAATGAATCCAAGAAACATCTTATAACATTGATGAATCTAGAGGGCATTATGCTGAATGAAATAAGTCAATCACAAAAGGGAAAATACTGTATGAAACCACTATTATAAAAACTCAAGAAAAGGCTTACACACAGAAAAAAACAATCTTTGATAATTACAAGGAAGGGAAGGGGAAATTACTAACTAGATAG